GGGAGCGGGGGGGCCAGGGGGAGGGTGTCTGTCACAAATCATCCATTCTCTCACGACTGTTTTGGCCAAAATAATTGCCAGCGTCGTTTCGTCCTTGTGGGTTGCCAGACTGTTTAGGTCTAAAAATACTAGGATTTTGATTGATGTACCAGCCCACAATCCCAGCAAAATGCAGTTGGTTCAAAGTTTTCTACTGTGAATATGGCCCCTGAGCTATTTGGTCCAAGGTCCACCAATCGATTCAATCCAGCCTGTGCAACTTGTGCTGGACTGTGTGTAAATTTGTGCGCACGTGTGAGTGCCACTATATTGAGGAGTTCCCTAAGCACGTGCTCTAACTTCTTCTTTTTCTTTTTCTTTTTCTTTTTCTTTTCTTTTCTTTTCCTTTTTCTTTTTCTTTTGTGTTTCCTTTCCTTCCCTCGTCATTTTCTTTTTCCCAAGAGGGGAAAACACCTTAAAATTAGCCAGCCACTCGAACGCGAACCCTAACCCGAGAATCAACAATCAGTGTGTGCTATTCCGCCACTGGACAGGTACAACCATCGTTTCCTCTTCTTCTTTCACCCTCTTTTATCCTTTCCCCCCCCCTCCATTGTTCAGTTTTGTCTTTCTTAAAGTTCTTTCTTTAATTATTCATGGAGAGCAGCAGTGCAGTTCGTTCAGTTGACATAGGCCCAGTAACACTTACCTGGGGGATGAGGCCACTGCCGAAATGCTATACGGGCCAAGGAACTGTTCTTTGAATCCCTTGGCCCCCTCACCCTGTCTCTTATACACATCTAGATGTGTATAAGAGACAGCATTATTACTGGGGATTTCCTTTTTTGGTTGCTTGTTTTATCATTCAGTATTGTTTAAACTTGAAAGGTGAAATTTAGAGTTCCCTGGTTCGCATGTCAATCTGATCTAAGGGGGCCGTTCAGGACATCTTTTCGGGACTGGGAGGCTTAGATCGATATGTTGGCGATGTCAGTGGCAGTAGTAGTAGTAGTAACTCCATTGGACTAGTTGACTCTAATCTTCATATTGTTTCTGATCTGTGTCAGGCAAACATGAAGCTCTTCTTGATGTGGGCAGTTCTCCAAGGGGTAGTTATGCTTCTGCAGAACCGGTATCAGCGAAGACGGCTTTACACCAGAATTGCCCTGGGGAAGGTAAGGGACGCGCTCAACAACCCCCTAGAACTCACTACAGTGAGGTGTTGATGCATGCTGTATTCTGGTTGATGCATGCTGCATTCTTGTTGATGCATGCTGTATTCTTGTTGATGCATGCTGTATCATTGGACAATTCTAAGCACATAACTGTGTATCTGTCTTGGGGGCCTATTGGTAGGTATTCCACTGGTAGACAAGGGAGAAAGGGAGAATGTGGGCCGTTGGCGGGGCAGTGTGTTGAAGCCGTGGTGTTGTTTGGTGCATACAGTTGTTTGCGGCTGGTGGTCTAGAAAAGTGTAACCTTTTTTAGTAGATGGGAAAAAAAACGGCCCGGATCTTCTCTTCACTGGCGATGTGTTTGATGGAGTGGAAAGAAAGGTACAAGGGGCGTCTTTGCTTTGGATGGATGTCTGAGTGGTTGAAGGTATCAGTCTTGAAAACTGACATTCTTTGTTGCTGTCGTGTTTTCAGGAACTGTCTAGAGCAGAGGGGATGGAGTAGTGGCAGTTGGGGTGGGGAGGTAGGGAATTTTGAGCGAAGCAGGCTTTGCGGCCTTGGTGGTGGTGGTGCACCAGGACAGGCTGTCATGGAGATACCATGGAATAACTGCTCGGAGTCAGAAACTAGGCAGTGATCCATCGTCTAAAAGACAGCCCTGCTGAACTAAGTGCATAGTCTAAAAGACAGCCCCGCTGGACTAAATGCATAGTCTAAAAGACAGCCCCGCTGGACTAAATGCATAGTCTTAAAACAACCCCGCTGGACTAAATGCATAGTCTAAAAGACATCCCCGCTGGACTAAGCCCCACTGCCAGTGCTTCAGAAGCATGAACCTGGTTGTAAACTCCCACAGGTTCATGCTTTTTGAACACAGACATATGGCAGGAGCAGGGCCTGACTCTCAGCTGGTGCTGTGTTTGTGATAACCTGGCACGGATCGGGACATTTGTACAACCAGATTCAGAAGGCGCCAATTGGGCTTGACACTGAAGTGTAATAAAATTATTGCATGCTGGTTTTCCTTTATTGTCTGAGGGTCTCTCCACTGGCCAAATGTATCATTTCACACAGCAAATGTTAGCGGTTTGTTGAGCTGCGAGGGATAGTATGGAGGTGCCTACAAACACCTTTTCGTTTTCTACTATTTCTTGGGAAGAAAATGAAAGTTAAAATATGCCGGGCAAACAACACCCCTAAGAGCTAGATGGGTCGAGTTCGCTACCAGGGTCAAAAAAGAAAATGAAAAGGCCTCCCCTCGAAGGCTCGAACAGAACCGCGGAGCAATGGGACTGCCCTACAAGATCAGGCACCAAAAATGCTATGCCGTCACTGTCTTTTACGGCCCTAGTTGACCTGTGTGACTGCATGCACAGCTAAAGCAGCAAAAGTGACGTTGGTAGCAGATTTTTGCTACTTACGGTCCATGTGCGACCCACAAAATTCAGCAAAGCTGCGATTTTTGCTACAATAGTTTTTTTTTTTTTTTATGCCCTGAGAATAGTAAGAGACCTGCTGGGGCTACTTAACGGAATTGGCATCCTAGCTTTTGCTTTTGCTGTCCTGAGTTGTGAGGTGTGAGCCACTCAAAGAGTCAGTGACTTGGTATTGTTCTTTTCTCCTATTGTTTTTTTTTTTTTTTTTTTKGGGGGGGGGGKKGGGGGGGGGGGGGGGGGTCTGTTCAAGGTATTGTTGTGTACCCTCTCTTTTCGTGTTGAAGAGGGTAGATAGTAGCCCTTAATTTTTTTATGGTGTTCATGTGATCCCGTTAGGATTTGGACGCATGATCTGTTTACTATCAGTGACATGTATACAGTGCTCTACTTCAAACTCATCACTGCCAGGTCACAGCAAAAGTTACGTTTCGGCAGGTGTACCTGGTGCGACATTATGGCTTGTGGTGAACAATGTGAAGTCTATTATTATAAATAAAAAGGATGGCCATGATTTAGGGCCTTGCGACACCACTCATGAAAGAAAGACAATGTGGCTGCATCTTCCCACAGAAGGTGGCTGGATTCATACCTTACTATTCATAGCAACGGATGTTTTTCACCACATTCTGAAGAAATTCTAGTAGCTTTTTAGTTGTGTGGGTTTTGTTTTGTTTAGTCAACAAACTTTTGTGTGGGTTTTGTTTTGTTTAGTCAACAAACTTTTGCCTGGGAGGCATGTTCAAATTCTTACCCAAACTCGAGTTAAAAATAAAAAACCTATATATAAAAAATCATTTAAAAAATATGTTCAATCGAACACGTTCGGGAGTTCGGCCGAACACCTGAACGTGTTTGGGCGTTCGCAAAAGCCCCAAACATGTTTGATGTGCTACACACAAAAATAACAGTCCACTAACTCTGTCTGCCATTGGCACAGTTCTCCCATTTCCTCTCCTTCACACTATCCGCCCCAAACAACTCTTCTTAGTTAAGTGATATGCATGTTTTTTCCTTATTTCACCTATGCAGTACAACAAATGACCTGTTGGAAAAACCAGGCCAATGACCCGTGCCTTAGAACCAGGGCACTGATCCGTGCCTTTGCCCAACATCTTTTTCCTTTTTTTTTGAACGGGACCATGCTCCAGTCTATTCGTGGGGGGTTACCCGTGGAGGGCGCTGGGCCCAGCGTCCCTTATGCAACTACAAAGAGCAACTTAAGGTACAGGGGCCATTGCCCGGCTTCGACTGAGAACATTCAAGAAGAAGAAATTTAAAATGTTGGACAAGATCACGAACAACTTTCAACCTCTCCAGGAAGACCTACAGAATACTAACATTTCAACTGACACTGATAAACCTAACTGAAACCAAGTTTACCAACCCTACCTTCTTCACCCGAATAAACGAAACATATTAATACTCGTTATAGCTGTATTGGGGGTATCTTTCAGTCTTAAAACAGCAATAATGACCGTACGTTGTATTCGGGCGAAGTAGGTAGCCCTCGCGTTCTCGAGAGCAAGGCTCTACCAAACGTCACACCCCCAATGCAACTTACCAACTGATCTTATAAAAGAGTCCTCACACTCTACAGGTGTGCTCATTTTTCGCCTCAAGGGTCAGGCAGATAAATAGTAAATGCTGCACTGCAAAACTGGAGGGTGGTGAAAATTCCACCCAGCCTATGTGGCTGAATGGTACACTGCAACTGATGATTAACAGCACATGAGTTTGAATCCTGATGGAATCAGATCAAAGCAAGAAAGGTCATTAGGGACCCCTTTGAAAAAAAAAAGGGGGTGGTGGGAATTCCATACAGGACCCAAAATACTAGTAGAGAGCATCTTTGATTCTTTGGATGCTGGAGGGGAGGAGCTCTCAGCCCTTCCATAGATTCTAGCCTTCTACCTTCTTCCCCCGAATACAACGTACGGTCATTATAGCTGTATTTAGGCTGGAAAGATAACCCCAAATACAGCTATAATGGCCGCACGTTGTATTTGGGTGAAGAAGGTAGGTGTTCTTATCTAGCTGACAGGCTTGGTCTCTGAGCCTGTGAGAGGAATATATGGGAGAGGCAACCTGGCAGTCAATCCTTTATGAAAATAGAACAATGAATGCTGTCCAGGGATCCTTTGGTCGACGGAAGGATGCGTGTGTGAGTGCAGCTAGCTGATGTAATGTCGCGACTTCCCATTTTTTTTTATTTTTTTTTCAGAGACTGGCACTGGTCAGTGGAACGGCCACCGAACTGACGCTCCTCAGAATGGAAAAGGAGCATACTTGCGGCTCATCGCAGAGGTGCGCCGTGCGGTGCGCATGCGCCATGCGCCGTGCGCAAATTGGTGATGCGTGTGTACACACATACACACACACACACAGTCGGTGAAAGCCCGACGAAACAGTCTGGTACAGTCATGCTTTTTTCGAGTGTGTAGCAAATATGACAACACACACACACACACACACAGACAGAGAGAGAGAGAGCAAACGATCCCCTTCACACGTATCAGAGGGCCCATGCAGGTGATCTAAAGGGTCCTCGCAGCAATTTAGCAAGGAGTCTCCACCAGAATCGAGGCAGGCAGTGAATGCGAAGTGGAGCAGGAGCTGGCTGAATATATACTCAGGATTCGTATTCAGGTCTGTGTTTCAGCAGTTATGCGTTGCTCACTTAGCTAGGCCCTCTTGGTCTCTACACGTGATTCTCAGGGCTTGGCTGCAGTACTCACCAAATGTGCAGAATTAGCATGAATATTCTGCTAGAACGTGGAATGATACGCCGCGATATGTTTTATCTTTGTGCATGTGGTGAGTAGAGGCCCTTAGGGCCACTGCACGTATTCCTAAGAAAAGAAAAACGAGAAAACAGAGAATTAGTGACTCATAACTGTGATGCACAGACCTGAATTTGAATCCCGACTATACATTCTCGGCCCACGCAGGCAAACTGGAAGTCTAATGTCTACCTCTGCTCCACGAGGGGTCCTTGCTAATTCGTAGGGGCCCTTCGGAAATGAGACTGGACACAATTAGGACATGCACACCCACACGCTCATACATGTGCTTACAGTGTTGGGGTATGGGGTGGCCCTAACTTTTTTCCCTCTTGCTGTTTGATTTTCAGAAGCGAGGGGCATGTTTGGCCACCCCACCCTGTTCTTTCAATTTTTTATTTCTTTTTTTTTTTTTTGGTGATGCGCCGCATTGCGTGCATGCGCGTGTGCTCTGCGCCGCATGTGCCGCGACCCCGCGCACGGGATGCACCGCAAGTATGAAAAGGAGTCAAGATCATAAGGTCCTGGTGCTTTTTGTTTTTGTTTTGTGTTTTAAAGAAACAGCATCTTTGTCAACTTTCAAAGAAAAAGAAATCATCCAGCGGCCTAGCTCAGTTGGTTAGGCACGCAAGTGGCATTCAGTTTGTGGGTTCGAGCCCTACGACGGCCTGCGGCGCACTTAGTGCCAACCAACTGCGATAGTCCTCTTGAGACCCCTGATCGGTGTTAGGAGGGTCTATGACCAACACTCGTGTGACTGTGAGTGTGAGTGGATTGTGTGTGG